GTGGCGCAGCGACAGCTTTCCCTCTCCATTATGGCCTGGCCAGTCCATCCCATCCCCTATCAAGCAGTGGCTTCCCCATGTGCTGCTGCACTTTCCTCCTCCCTGTGCCAGCTGGTCCCAAAAGGCAGGAGGCTCCACCATCGCTTCTGCTGGCCAGTGCCGACCCAGCCCCAGCATCACGTGGGAAGCTGGCTTTAGCTGCATGCTGCTCCGGATGGGACAGGCCCAGCTGCGTTGGCACTGACCAGGAAAAGCGGCATGCAGCTGAAGTTGGCTTCCTACATGCTACTGGGGACGGGAGGAGCCTAGCAGGGTCTGCACCGGCCAGCAGAAGTGGCGGCAGAGCCATGTGCCGCTCAGGACTGACCGGCGCAGGTAGGGGGGAAATGCAGCTGAGCCCCTGCCGCTCTGGACGGGTTGTCCCATCCCAAGTGGCACATGGCTCTGCCACCACTTCTGCTGGCTGGTGCTGACCCAGCTGAGTCTGTCCCATCTGGAGCAGCATGCAGCTAAAGTCAACTTTCCACATGCTGCTGGGTACGGGAGAAGCCTGGTCAGGTCTGCACCGGCCAGCAGAAGTGGCGGAGGAGCCATGTGCTGCTTGGGACGGGATGAGCCTGGCCGGACCAGCAGGGGCTCAGCTGCACTTTCCCCCTACCTGTGGCGGTCAGTCCCGAGAGGCACACGCGGGCTCATCCTGTCCCCAGCAGCATATGGGAAGCTGGCTTCCCACGTGCTGCTGGGGATGGGACGAGCCTGGCTTCCCACATGCTGCTGGAAACGGGACGAGCCTGGCCTACACCGGCCAGCGGAAGCAACAGCGGAGCTGTGTGCCGCTCAGGACTGACCGTGACAGGTAGGGGGAAAGTGCAGCTGAGCCCCTGCTGCTCCAGCTGGCCTCATCCCGTCCCAAGCGGCACATGGCTCCGCTGCCACCTCTCCTTACTGGTGCTGACTGGGCAGGGCGAGGCCAGCTGGGTCTGGCTGAGGTCAGGGTTGGTTGCCTCACAACCAGAACCCAAGCCTGAGGTGCTGCAGCCGGCGGCTGGGTTCGCCGGCTGCTGCTGGAGGTTTTTAGAGAAGCATCCGCCATTACCCGGGTTTCGAAGGGGCTCCACGGGCTGGAGGGAAGTGCTTGATGGACCAGATCCAGCCCACAGGCTGTATTTTGCCCACCCCTGCCTTAGAGTCTCCTAAAACCTTGGGAGCCACTCTGTCCTCCATACCTATAGTTATGCCAATATATCTACATGTCTCCTGTATGCCTGTTTAGGCTGCTAGGGTGCCTGTTTTTCTGTGCATAAACACCTCTTCTGTGGTGTGGCATATAACAAAGCACATTTCTCACTCCTCTACC